GCCTCGCCGGACAGGTTGGGCCGGCGGGGCGGCGCCCGGCTCCGGGGAATAATGAGTGTCTGTCAGGCCGTCCCCGGGTGACTGGGCGGGGCGGGGCGGAGGCGGCGCGGGAGGCGGGGGTGGCGGGGGAAGGGCGCAGGGCGGGGTGCGTGTTTGCGCGAGTGACTCGGCCGACCCCTCCGGCGGCTGCCTCCACCCAAGTGGGTGGGGACCCGCCCAGCCCGGGCGGCCGCGGCGGCTCCCTCTCCCCTCCCTGACCCTCCCACCCCGGGTCCCAGCCTCTACTTACCCCGCCAGCCCCGGGAGGCTCGCAGAGCGAGCGGCGCCGGCGTCATGTGACTGCCCGGAGTTGGTGCCAGGAGCCAGAGGGGAGCCAGGAGCGGAGCCGCGCGGAGCCGGGGCCCGAGCCGGAGCGCAGCGCGAGCGCCCGCCGCACGCGCGCCCGTCCCCGTTCCTGTCCCCGTGCCCTGCGGCCGCCACCGCCACCCCGGCTGGCGCGCTGACATTACTGCATTCGCGGGGTTCAAGGCGGCTCGGATCAGGGCCTTTATTTCTCGTCTGCAGCGCTCAGCACCGCGCCTCGAAAAGTAAGTCCCCTCTCCCTCACCTTCCCTCGGCCCGACTCCTGCTGTCGCCCTTTCTGGCTCGTCTGGTCTCATTTTTTTTCCCCTTGGGGGTCGCGCAGTGAATGGGCTGGGGGGGTGCAACGCGGGGGTGGGGGCGCCTGTGGGCTTGGGAAAGTGCAACAGCTCCTGGAAGCCGGGGGTGGGGGCGGAAGGGGAGGCGAGGGGGAGGGGGGAACCCCGGGTTCATCGGTTGAAAGTGTGGGATTCGGGGGAGCCACCGTGCGGATCCCGCGATGTGGGGGACCGAGACCGGCGGCGCCCGCCGCGGTCCCGGCGAGGGCGCGGGCGGGGGCTCACCTGTGTGGTCCCCCGGCTGCCGCCCGCCCGCCCGCTCGCCCGCTCCCTCGCTCGCGATTCCCTCCAAAGCCCCAGAAATCTCAGTGCTCTCCGCGTGTGGCAACGTTGTTTGGAGAAAGGTAGTGAGGAGGCCGCGCACTCCTGCTCCTGCTCCTCCCCCTCCGGGTCCCCCCCCCCCCGCGCCCGCGCCCTCCCCTCCCCGCCCCCCGCCGCCCCCCTCTTCGGACCGGGCGCGCCACCGCTCGCCCGCCGGAGCAAACTTGGAGCAACCTCCCGGGCCCTCTGGGAAGAAACTTGGGGCCGTTGGGACTGAAGGCAGCATCCCATTCTCGGTCCTGGAGCCCAGGAGCTGCCAGGGCGTCTGGATCCTCGGGGGCAGGAGAAAAGAGCTGGCCGGGTTTGGAGAGTCCTCCTCGGGGGCACAGAGAGAACCTGCCGCAGTGCCTGGAGCAAGGATTGCAGCGAGGCTGGAGGCGGAGAGCGCCTTAGGCAACTGCCTGCAGCGTTAGGGACTCGAGCCGTGTGGGGACTGAGGGACTGATCCCCTGGACCTGGACCCTTGGGACTTACCTAACATTTCAGAGTGCCTTTCTTGGAGATGGCAGATAATACTTGGAATTTTCATATCCACTTCTTTGGCAGATATCAGGGAGAATCTTCTGCTTTACATTTTACAGCAATATACAATAATAATAGATGGAGAACCTGTGTGAACTGGACTTATTTTTAATAAGTCAGGTTAAACGGAAACTGGAAATTGCTCACCTTCTTGTATTGCACTAAAATAAACATTTTGCACTGAATTTTTTACTAGCTCAGAATGTATTTTTCTGCTAATATCACCCAAGATACTTTAAATATTTTGGTTGTGTTCTCACAAAAGTCTGGTATTTGGGGAGAAATATGTAGTGGTATTCTGACTTCATTTACATTTAGTATATAATTATTAGCAAAATCGAGTAGGAGACTAGGGCAGTTGTTCATTATAGATTTGTCCACTGAGCAGTTTTGTACTTTTTTTTTTTTTTTAAGTGCTTTCTATATGAATTTGAGCAGCATTTTTATAAGAAATCCATCTGGATGATAATCTGCCTAACCGGAGGAAAGACTTGGTTTTAGGGAAAAGGCAACCTGATAACATTAACATCTCCAAAATTTCACGAGTTAGTGTTTTTTTTTGTGTTTTTTTTTAAGAAAGAATGGACAAATGAGTTTCTTGCGGCTCAAAGCATGGAGTATGTTGACCTTAGCGCGTTACCAGAAACCTGAAATGAGATGTTTGATGAATTTCAACTCTAGAGAAACTGTCCCCAGTTCCACAGTCAGTGGGGTTTGCAGCAGAAGTATTAGAAGAAAAAACCTAATGTACTATTGTAAGTGCAGTAAAGATACACTTTAAGGAACATTTGGCTTTCATGGAGAATGCAAGTCTAAAAATCTTAGTGTGAGAATAACAAAGAAAAGTAGCTGCTAAGACCACAAAATCTTGTCAGATATAAAACATGCTATTGTTTTTTCACTGCAAAGTTTCTAAATTAAAACCCAGTCTTCTGGTTGCTATGGGCACAGTGATGCCTTTTTTTTTTTTTACCTGTAGTTTTGTCTACACACAGATTATTCGATCTCTGATCATGGAAACCTGAGTTGAACAGTCCTGGCTAACAAAATAAAGAGACATAATGGGGGGAAAGACTATGAATGGGTTTTACTACCTTAAATATACCTAAGGGAAAATAGACATTTTCAGATATCTTATAAAAATTGATACTCTGGTCTCTAGACTGTATAACACTTTTGGGTTAAATGAAATGTCAGGAACAGAATCACATTCTCAAAAGGTGAATTTCTTTAGATGTGTGTACATGGAGAACAGATGTGCAGCTGTGTGCGGATAGGTTTCTGACTATGCAGTTGAGAAAGATGGTGAAATTTGGGGAGGGGGTGACTCTAGGTAGCCCGCACTCAGTGTCTAGGAATGTAGTTCTGCATAGCTGAGGGGCCTTAGAACTGGTCCAGTTGTCAGTTCATGTGGGATAACCCAGTTGTCCTCTGAATTCTTACCAGTGCTTTCTTTGCATTTTCCTCATGATGCTGAGGCTGAACAATAATCATTGCCCTAACCCCGAATTTGATTATGGCTAGAGACCAGCCACTGGGATGGGGGAGAAAGAGACAAAAGAAATTGGAAAGGAGGCTGGTGTTAATTAGGAAGATCTCTGCTGCCCGCATATGATAAAATCACATATTCCCTTACGATGTTTACTGTATGTGGAAGCTCCTATTTGTAAATAGGGCAGGTCCCCTGTATAAAGCTGGTGTTATTATTCACACCCATAGAACAAACACCTCCACCCCCCTGTTGTTGTCTGAAAAAACTCCAGCTGCTCATGAATATAGGGTCAGGGAGGGCCGGCTAAATGTTTCTCTGAGCTCGCTCTCCAGCACGGCCAGCAGAGCTGTTTCCTGTTCTTTGTTTCAAGGCTGGGGTTTGCGTCATACATTCCAAGTGGCATATGTGTGCTCTTTCCTGTTTCGGGCTGTTTTCTGGTAGATCAGTAGCCCAGACCAGGCCGTGGTCCCTGCCCCTAAACTCCCGATCCCCACCCAGGGAGTTATCATGTCTCTACACACTTGGCGATTGCCTAAGAGGCCAGTGTTAGGTCATAATGAGGAGTCGGTTAACCTTTTTTACATATACCCTTTGCTCCGGTGTGTTTTCTGTGAGAGAATAAATACTGTGTCTTTTTAAATTCACCATTGCCAAAGGGTGACTCTGAGAAATGTGTGTGCAGGTTGGCTAGACGTCTAAAGGAGTTGCATTCGTCTGTTTTCCAGGCTTGTTTTGAGGTGGGCAGGGTGTTTGCTTAGAGATAGGCCTTTGGCCCTGAAGCTGTCAATGTTGGAGGGGGATTGCCACCTTACAGTTTAGAAGACCTAGCATTATCTGCAGGCTGTGGCCCACCCTTGTTCCCAGGTAGCACTGGCCCTCCAGGCAGGAGGCCCCCCTGGCGGACTGGGCTGATTGGAAGAATCTCACTTAGGTTTTAAGGATGAAATCTTTAGGAAAAGTATTGAAGCCAAAACATAAGATACATTGAGGAAATCAATCCCAGGGTCATCTCTTTTAAAAAAGACAAAGATGTAAGTGCTAGGATAATTTTCCCAAGGACCAAGATGTATTCTACATCTGATCTCCGACCTGTTTTAAGAATAAAAAGCTCCGAGAAAAGGAGAACTGGAAATGAGAAATTCATATTCCTGACAGTCTGGAAAATTTTAATCTTATATTTTGAAAACAGAAGGAGACTTCTCTTGTTTTTATTGTCTTACAACACCAACTTTTTCATAATCCCCCTCTTTTTTTTTTTGGTATATTCTGTCAGTTGTGGGCTAACACATTTCTAGGTTAACTATTTAAAACCTACTAACTTTTTCTCTTGGTTCTTCAGAAACTAAGTTTTAAAGAAATAAGTTGGATAAGAAAACTCCTGGCAAGTTTCTTTTTAAACTTATTTTTGGATTTTCCTTAAAATCCGAAGGAATTATCTACAGTGTTCTCTAATGGAATTAATTCAGAGTTGCCGTGGCAGCAAATCAGAGCCTATCCTCCCCAAAATTGATGATACTCGTACTTTGGTTTTTAACTTCACATTCTACCACATTCTTTCTTTATGGATAAAGGGAAATATATGGTATGATATTAAGAAAACTACTAGAATCAAATAGAAGGTTACTGATAACCTTCCTTGAAAAAAGATGGATGCTTTGGAAGCTTTCAATAAGAAAACTTCGGGAGAAGAAAACTTGAAATATTAAACTGATTTAGAGCGCAAGGGACCTTTAAACTAAAATTCGTAAGTAACCCAAATCAAGCAACTTTTTCAATTTTAGTTCCAAAGCTGTTAACAATCCAACTAGATTTTGTAGACAAAATCTTTGTTTAGCTTACTCCAAGTTATTCTTTCTTCCCCATTTTGGGGGAGAGGGACGTGGTTGGCTAATAGACATGATTAGGGTCTGATGTATTTTATCAGAAAAAAAAGCTTTTCAAACCTTTAAAAGCTAAGCTGAACAATTTGGGAAAATTACACCAGTCTGATAGTTACTAAATTACAAAAGGGGAAAAAAATGGGAATAATAGTTTCATCTCTTGACCATGCAAGTCATTATTCCTAATTTAATCCCATTTTATTTCTACCCCCCCTTTACATACTTGTCTTAATATTTCCAAGTCAACATTCTTGCTATAATGAACAGCTTTCTTAGGTGGTATTTCTTACTCTGTTTTTTCACACCAGTTGTGTTTTAAGAAAAAAAAAAAATACAAGCAACCTCATCCTTTAAAGACTAGGAATTACATTATTCTGGAAATTGGGTTTCTTTCTGAAATGCTTCATATTCATTGGTTCTAGCTTTAAAAAAAAATCTCTAGATTCATAAAGCAATTGATACCTGATTTGCTAATGTGTAATGTTCTAGTCAAAATTCATCTTGGAGTGAGTTGCAAGAGGATTGTGGTGGTTTTTAGTATTCTCATTTTCAAGCCTGATCTGTCCCTTTCTTAGACCCCGGTTCTCATCTGAAGCAGTAATGCCAGAGCTTGAGACAGGAAACCAGACAGCAGTCTGCCTTGATAAGGGAGAGCATTGTCTAAAGGAGGTAGC